GGAAAGGTGGCCCCAATCCCGACTCGCACCGTTGCCATCCCTATGCAAGTGTGACGTTAATTTATACTATTCTTTTTGCATATACGTGTTGGTATGTTATTCAGCTTGTCAAGTACTACATATAAAATAAAATATATCCAAAAATTCTTAAATGCAAATATCTAATCATCTTTAGTCGAGATTCAATTACAATGTCATTAAATTGTTTTGACATATTAACTCTAAAATCTCCTTTGAGCTTAGGACAACAAGAGGTCGCAGTGTTAATGACATCCGGAATTTCTCAAAACGCAATGTGCCTTAGAGAGAACCCTGTCTTTCCCAAGATAAACCTTACTGGTGAATAGTGATAATAGTAATAGGGAAAAAATAGAATATGGAATTAAATGGAACTAGAAATTCCAAATATCTCCTGTAGATTATGACTTATCATTTGCCATCAAAATTCATTAACATTATGGTGGATGTAGAAAAAAAATATTGAAATACCCTGAGATCCTAATCCTTAAACAATTTAAATGCCCAGTGCTTTGAATATCATTTTAATCCCACTGAGAAATGACATGCGAACGGATTTCTTAATTCTCTAATTTAGGGTTCAATTCATCTATGCACGTTGCAGCTGCTATTGAGGTTGCAATTGTGGTTACGAGATAAGCACCCGATGGTCCAGGCACTACCTTAGACTGCTGGGGAAGTGACTGAAGTGTAGACGGGGTTGATAGAGTTTGTGTTGGATGATAGATTCCAGTAAAGGTCCCATGGCCAACATATGAAGGAAAGATGGAATGTTGTCCAATGATATATTGACTAAAAACATATTTGATTGCAGATCTGTTTAATAGTAGAGTAGATGGGACTATAACTACCATAGAGGCCCCATTAGAACCATAACCAGAAGGAATTCCATAGTGGCTCAGATTTATAACAACAGTTCCTGGTTTGCACAATGAAGGAATAGGGAATTTTACGCTGCGGCTATAGCAGTTGGTGGCATGTAGATGTTGTCAGTTGAAGGTTGCTGCGGGAACCCACTGTTGCCTAAGAATTGCTGAGCATTTGGCGTTGTCACATAAAGTTGTAAAAAGTAAGGGTTATACAGCATGTAGTTAGGATGATATGGCTATCGAATGTAAGGAAACAACTGGGATGATAGAGGAATAGAACTCTACTAGATCCACATAATTGCAACCACAAGGTATGAGCAGCCCAAAAGGCATCCACTGAATCAATTACTGCATCACGTCAGAAACAGAAATTATATCAACATTTAAATTGACCTGAAAAATAGCTACAACTAAACAAATCAATATCTGGTGCATCGAATGGTATTTCTAAACCCGCTCCATTTGTTTTTACTATTATGCTATAATGTACATCAATTAATCAGAGACATCAAAAACTTTTTTAGTGAACAATATATGTTTTTGTATCATCATTACCAACATATTCCACATAGCCCATCATCTTATTCACCCCATTTACAAATTATTCGAAACACAATCGCATATATTCTACAAGATTAATGGTGTTATAAAAGTGGAAAGCGTAAAAATCAAACAATATAACAACTATATTTTTATCAAAAGTAAACGAATATATCACATTAACATACGTAACAAGATTCAACTAATCAATATTCCAGTACTTACAGAGACATTGTGATATATCAGTTAGATTACAAGCGGTGCCACAAGTGTGTATATGTTGAATTACAGTAAGGTAGTAAATAACCCCTGAACATTCCATTGCTACTGGTCAAGAATCACATTCATATCCAAAAAATGACCCCAAAGAAATGGACCTCAAAAACAGAGATAATATGGAATATCCAAAGTTGTAGAAATCTTGGTTAAAAATTTGGTATGTACATATTATGTTTAATCATTTTGCAAAATATTTCTAAGACACGATTCAACTCGAACACTCGTCGGATGTCAGACACGATGATTATCTCAACGGAATCAACCTCCACGGTCGTTGATAGTGATTCCAATAAAATCGTTATGTTTTGATTCCAAAGTGTTCTTAAGCATTGTACTGTATGTTCATAATGTATCCTAAGAATGTCCTAACTTGTCAATGTGTACCGGAAACATCTCGTCCAAATTTACACCCTCAAAATGAAAAACATGGCTTTTTGCAAGAGGGTCCAACATGTATCCTAGTGTCCGTCCATGAAGAAAGTTTTTCCAAACAGATTCATTGGCTTGAAGAAATATTTTGTCCTGTGAATATTTTTAAAGCCTTCGATGGTGGATATTCTCAATTCATTTGTTCAATTTTATTGTAGCAAGAAATTTAATTTTGAAATTGTGTAGATGCTTTTGAATTTATGCCATATTTTCCCGTCTTCAAAAATTTTCAGTTACATATACATAAAAGAAAGGTTATTATGATGTACTTTCGTGATGCTAATGGGGCTTATATGTATTTTGGGTCATTATTTGGATTTAATAGTATAAAATAAATTATTATATATTAATAAGGTATATATTAATTTATTTTTTTTATTCCAAAAATGAATTCCCAATTTTTGAGTTCAAATTTAATCCGCATTTCATCCATCTATATAGCCCATTTAAGGCCCACTTACCAAATAATGATTTTGAACAATATTTATAACAGCAGCCGACACAGATGATCGAAAGTGAAGAGTGAAGAAGAACAATTGCCACGGGAAGATTTGCCACAACATGGCACACCATTCTAGAACATGTTAATAAAAGGAATGATTAAAAAAGATCCTTGTCCCCACCAACCCAGGAGCCTATAAGTAGGTATAAAATTTGCTGAGAAAATACAAAAAGCTCCATTTGATTCCTAGATAATTAATTTTTATTTATTTATTTATTTATTTTATTTTATTTTTTTGATATCCAGGTATCCCAGCTTACACCAGACTAAATCTTGGACCTCCAAGACCCATGCCCCTAGAACCTTGGAGGGAGTAAATTGCGGGATATGCCTCAATTGGATCACAGGTTCCCTTCATTGACTGTACACTTCTGCGCACAAGAGACCCTCCTCCACAGTGATTACTCCATACCAAATATTTGGCCGCAGGTTCCCACCAGGAATCGAACTCTCCACCCTGTCGCTGGAAGCAAGCCAATGTTGATTGATCCACCATTTGAGCTGTGCCCCGGGGGGCTCCTAGATAATTAATTTGATTGCATTTGTGCTTGCCATCGACAAATGACAGCTTCGCTTGCCTCTTGTTAGGTAGTATTGGGCCTCACACCTCAACAGCTAGTTTAAGAGATAAGACTTTTCCTCATAGTTATAAACTAAATACTAACTCTATGCACAATCGATGTGGGACAATTTCAACAATCTTTTACTCACATATCGGGTTTTACGGGAGACCAAATATGTCTCCTCCCACACATTGGGCCCTGCGAGAGATCAAACTCGTCTCCTCCTCACATAAATCTGTATTTCCATTGCTGTTGGGTTAGAGACTTGTTGATAAACCAAGCTCTGATACCAGTGTTGAGCGGTATTATGTCTCTCTCACCTCAAAAACTAGTTCAAGATGCGAAACTATCTCACACTTATAAATTGAATACCAATCTCATTCACAATGATTTGAGACATCCTCAACATCTCTGCTGATGATAGCTACGATGTCACATCGAGGATGGATGCGTTGTGTTAGCCGAACAAAATAAACCCAAAATTTTTTCATTTTCTTTAATAACATATTCTTCAAAAAATTACTATTCCAAACATTATTGTTCCCAAAAAATTCAAGAGAACGTCTATGCAATGGACTTGCTACTCAAATGGGACCAAATGGGCCACCCCCAAAAATTAGCTCAAGATGTGAAACTATTTCTTACATTTATAAATTGAATATCAATCTCATTCACAATGATTTGGAACAACCTCAACATCTATGCTGATGACAGCTATGATGTCACATCGATGATGGATGCGTTGCGTCAACCGAACAAAATAAATTTAAAATTTTTTCATATTCTTAATAACAGGTTTTTCAAAAAATTACTATTTCAAACATTATTGTTCCCAAAAAATTCAAAAGAATGTCTATGCAATGGACTTGCTACTCAAATGGGATCACATGGGCCCTATTTTTCCGAGGAACACGTTCCCCGCCCGGCAACTGGCAGGTGGATGTGTCCACCCGGAAGTTTGACAAGAATTATTCCTATGCAATATGTGTCGCCCACCTATTGACAGGTGGATATGTCCACCTGGAAGTCTGACAATAATTATTCCTATGCAATAGGAAGGCTGCACGTGGAGTCTTGGGTCAATTTCACTTGCCGAAGACTGCCGCAGCTGTGCATTTTGAACTGTTTCTACTTTTAGACTAGAAGAGCCAACGATCAGATGATCGAAGTCCGCTCAAGTCTAAAAGAACAAATTCCACGAAAGATTAGCCAGCTGGAACACGTTATCCCCACGAACCCAGAAGACTATATAATACACATCCCGTTCATTATATTGTCTGTGAATTGAACAATTATAGCATTCCTTCCCAGTTCAGAAAAAGTAAAATTCAAGAGTTTGTTAAGAGTGGGCAATCAGTTTCACACGATCATCACAACTGAGCAATACAGCTACAGCAACCTCATGCCGCCGCCGGAGCTACCAGCACTGGAGGAAGCCAGGAGCTCAAACGATCTCCAGCTCCAACACAGGGATGACTTCCGGGAATCCCATCTGAGGTGTTATGAAGCTGCATGCCAAGACGATACCACCGTCAGGGCATTCGACTCAACGATCCAGGTTCACAGCAACGGAGCCATTAAGTTCATGGCACTTGGCCTTCTGGTTCCCTCCCTCTCCTTCGACTCTACCCGGGAAGTCACTGAATACCTTCTTGAAGTAGACCCAGAAGTGGTAAAAATTATTCTCGAAAATATGAAAGACGATATCGAATTATCGAATCTTGTTGATGATTATTTCCAAAATAGCCTTCAAACTTTAAATTTCTGCACTGCCCTTGATGCCTGTCTTAGGCGTGGTGGTCATATCGAGTCGATATTGAATGTAGCTCTTCGAGTATTTGAGGAAGAACATTACAGTATTTCTGGAGAAGGGAATGTGAAAATTTATTCGAGAACTTCAGAGGAAATAAGGAATTTAAAGGCGGCAGTAGATCCCCTAATTGACGAGTTCTTGGAACTGTTTACCTCAGTTTATAAGCAACAAGTTTTGATGATAGAGACATTGCAAGCAAAGAAGAGAAAACTAGACAAGAAGTTGGGGAAATTGAAGGTAAGGAGGAAAATCTCTAATGTGATATCTATCGGCGCATTTGCCTCGGTCTTGATAAGCTCGGTGGTGGCAGCTGCAGTCATGGCCCCGCCTGTGGCGACAGCTCTGGCTGCAGCAGCTGCTGTGCCTTCAGGGTCAATGGGGAAATGGCTCGACTCGGTTTTTAGGAAGCGTGAGATGGGTTTAAGACGGAAAAGGGAGATAATTACTTCAATGCGTATTGGGAGTTACACCGTCATCAAGGGATTGGATCTCGACAGGTTTCAGATTGAGATTGACTCGTTATTGGAGAATGTGGATTTTGCTACGAGGGAGGACTCAGTGGTTATTGCAGTGGAGATTCAAAAGAAGTTGAATGGATTTACGAAAACCATTCAAGATTTGAGGGACCATTTGAATAAATGTACCAGAAAAATTAGGAAGGACGGGAAATTAATTCTACAGAAGATCATGAATCAAAACTTTGCTATGTCATAAAGGATTGGATATTTCCTAGGTCAAACATCATGTAAATACCATGGATTGGAAACTGAGTTATTTTATTTCGCAATAATATATCTTCATATCATAGATTACAAGTATGTTATTTGATGTTGCCCATGAGAATATTTCAAGAATAATGTTTGGGGTACATTATGGACATCATTATGGTGTTAATTATATTCAAGTAGAATAATCCATATTTCGCTATGTTCCCCCATCACAGGTTTATTTTGTTTTGGTTGTTTTCCATTCAGCAAAAAACCAATAGTAGGAATCTGATCAATGGCGGATCCAGGATTCTAAGTGAGCACAGGCAGCCGTTGACCGTTGACGGCCACAATAATAACCAATGCCGTGAATTGAAATTGCTTATGTTGTAGTTCGAATTATAAGGGTGAGTGTACGTTATCTACCAGTGTAATAATGTTTATCGAGTAACAATTCGAAATTTGAAAAATGGTCCGATTATTTACGCCCTGTTCTCTTTACCGTTTTCGGGTCGTTTTCTGTTTTCGATTTTTCAAAACGGTGAAAACGTGTTCTCTTTCCCGTTTTCGAAAACGAATTTTCGAAAACGTTTTCGAAAATGAAAAAAATTTGTGAAGAAAACACAAAACGACTTTTTTGTCGTTTTGGGCGTTTTCAGTGTAAAACTTGAAAAAATTGAAAACGCGGGAAACACTTTTTTTTTTTTTTTTTTGAGGAGGTGGTGTGGTGATTCTCAAAGTTTCAAAAAAAATTAAAAATAAAAAAAAAATTTTTTGAGGAGATAGTGTGGTGATTCTCAAAATTTCAAAAAAAAAAAAAAAAAATAAATTTTTTTTTTTTTTTTTGGTGTTTTGAGGTGGTGTTGTGGTGATTCTCAAAATTTTAAAAAAAAAAATTATTTTTTTTTGTTTTGAGAAACTAACAAAAAAAACGCATTTTCAACAATTTCAAAACAAAAACTCAAAATACAAAACTCAAAATGAATTCAAAACTCAAAACACAAAACTGAAACACAAAGAGAACACCCCCTTACTTTCTTGGTTTGATTTGCTAATAATTTCAGTCTAATAAAAAAATGTCTATTTTAATAATCTCACTGTATGGTCGAATTTACGTGTATATATATAGCTTTTGTTCAATGTATTGCCAACCTTCATAGAATGCCATAGTAGTCAAGTGTTTCATGATTCAAATGGAGATCACATGTTCAAATATTCCATTTGCACAGGTTTTTATGCTATTTACTCCAAAATGCTGAAAAATATTAAACTATTTAATTGTAAAATGGAATTGTTGTCGTTGAGAGTCAAACCCAAGACTTACATTCACTTATGTTGTACTCTAACCAGCTGAGCAATAAGAGTTTGTTGTGAATCAAAGGAAATCATAGAAATAAAGAATTTGACAGTAAAAAAAATTGAGTTCTGGTGAATCCAGCACGAACGGCCGCGGGAACTCACCAGGTGTTGGATTCGCCACTGAATCTGATGGACATAGAGGAGAAAAAATAGTAATAGGAAAAATAAAGCAAAGGAACAACGAAGAGAAAGATCCAAACTAGAAATTGGATGAGATTAGAAGTCAAAGGATGAAAATTGCAAGAAAAAAGGACTCAAACTGAACACTAAATCAAAGCTTGGGACTAAAATGCAAAAATCCAAACCTGAAGGTGCTACATACGTTTTTGCAAGGCACGTTCTTGTAGACTAAAGCAAAAAGGTATAAGCCATGCATGCACAAGGACCACACCCATGCGCACGCATGGTTCAATTTAGAGTTTTCTATTTTGAGTTGACTACCTTTAGGAAACCTATTTCAACATGGCTTTTGATCTAATTTTGAACCTTATAAATACAGAACAGCACCATACACCTCTCACAACCTCTTATGCCATAGAATTCATAAAATCTTACATGAAAATGGAGGTAATTCATCACACTTTTGGACAAATCAAGAGGCGAACTACAAGATTTCAATCAATTGAAGATCCAATCTTGATTTTTGGGTAAAGAAAGGAAGGCTTAATGGAAAATAACAAGAAATCATTGAAGATATAAAAGATTTCAAAAGTGAGAATATTTCAGTATGTTTGTGCAGCAAAAGTGAGAATATTTGAGTGTGTTTCCTCCATCACTAGTTTTATTTTATTTTATTTTGGTAGTTCATTTCAGTTCAGCATAAAAACAACAGTGTGAATCTGACGGACGTAGAGAAGAAAAAAAAAGCAAAGGAACAACAGAGAAAAAGAGAGGAAAGGTTTCGAAAATTTCTTATTCTATTTTCACGGTACATATTTACAATTTTATCCAGTATAATATCAAAGTTATGTGGCCGACAGTTTCTTTCTCAATTTTATCAAGTTTAGTATCAGAGCAAACTAAATTTGTTTTTATGTCAAAAATTATGAACATGGCTAGATTTCAATTCTAGCTGTCAAGATTGGATGCAAAAATGATTTCTACCAGTCAACAAATTTCTCATTTTAGAATGATGTAGTGCATTATCATTTACAAAGAAGTTCATTTACATGAGTGATTTTACCAAAATTCTTTTCCTGCATACAGAAGTTGAAGTTCGAGAGACTAAGATGATCATTATGGTAGTAAGATCTCCCTTTCCTACTTTCCTATGTCGAATGTATCTATATATTGACTCCCTTTCTCATATAATTTAGATTGATCTTTTGGTGAGAAATTGTTACAGTTCCAAATCCACGAGTCTACTGCATACGTAACAGAAGGTGGCCGAAAAATGCTAGAACTGTTAGAAATTAGAGAGCATAAGTTCACTCAACACTCAAACTCACAAAAAAGTAGTGAAGGAAATATATGTGATTTTATTATCACTTCAACTTGACTTGATTTTCAAATGGCTATTTTACATGAGTATATATAGGATTTTCCCAACATGAGCCTGGCTTAGTACATGTATCAATATTTAATTGCATACTTTCCCTCTACCTAAGTACATGAATAACACCAATGGACATACATGTACTCTCTTTAATTCATGCATTAAAACATTCTAACAGTAATCTAGGCATTTATGGATTATTCTAGAATTGAATCTAGTTTATTAATACAACACTCCATTTGAAACTTAATTCATTACGCCAAGGAACATCATCAACTTTTGAAAAGCATTAATCTTTAAGGGCTTGGTAAAATTATCCACAACTTGGTCTTGAGACTTCACAAACTCAAGCTCCACTTCTTTCTTGGATATGCACTCTCGTATAAAATGATATCTCGTATCAATATGTTTACTCTTTAAACATTGGGTTTTTGGCCAATGCTAGAGTGGACTTATTATCAACAAAAATATCTGTTTTGGGCCTTTTTGTTGTTGGCAAAGCTCCCTCATCAAACTCCTAAGCCAAATTGCATGACAAACAGAAATAGTAGTTGCGACATACTCCGCTTCACACGTAGAAAGAGTCACAATATGTCGCTTCTTAGAATTCCAAGTAAATACAATATTTCCCATAAAGAAAACAAACTAATGTAACGAAGTAATCTTTTGGCTACCTTTAAATGAGAAGTAGTAGGAGCTTCCATGAAGTGACTTACAAGTCCAACACCAAAAAGAATATCTGATCTTGTACAAGTTCAATACCTCAAGCTTCCAACAAGGCTCTTGAAAAATGTGGGATTGTTCTTCTCTCCATTTCTTTGCTTAGATAATTTAACTCAACATTCAATGGGGGTGTTCATTGGCTTGCAATTTTCCATTTCAAACCTTTTAAGAATTTCTTTTGCGTATCCTTCTAGAGAGATAAAGATTCCTTCGTCCCTTTGTTTCACCTCAATGCCAAGATAGTAGGACATTAATCCAATGTCCGTCATCTCAAATTTTCTAGCCATAACTTTCTTGAATTCTTCAAACATTTTTGGATTATTTCTTGTCAAAATCAAGTCATCCACATACAAATAAACAAGGAAAATATCATCATTTTTGTTTAATTTCACATAAGTGCATGTTCACGTGGACACTTAGAGAAGTTATTTGCTTGAAAATATTTGTCAATTCTGTTATTCCAAGCCTGCGGGGGCTTGTTTCAATCCATAGAGAGCCTTCTTCAATTTTAGGACCTTATCTTCTTGTTCTTCAACCACATAACCCAAGGACCGATCAATGTAGACTACTTAATCCAAAAATCCATTCAAGACTGCAAATTTAATATCTTGATAATTTTCCATTGGTTTTGAGCTGCCAAGGAAATAATCAAACAAATTGTTTCTAAACAGCGACCAGAGCAAACAAATCACCCTAGTCAATGCCAGCTTTTTGCTTGTATCCTTTTGCAACTAATCTTTCTTTATATATCTCTATCTCACCTTTCAAACTTTTCTTTATCTTGTACATCCACTTGACTCCAATCGTGTTTTTTCCTTTAGGTAGTGATGTCAATTCACATGTATCATTCTTCTTGATTGCCTGTATTTCTTCATCCATGGCATCTCTCCATTTTTTTTATCAAGAGCGGCTTCTTCAAAATCTATAGGCTCATAGTCTGCAAAAAGACAAAATTAAGTAAAGTCACTTAAATTTTGTGTCAACTTATCGGTTGACTCATACAAATCTCAAATACTTCTAGTTTTTTGAGGTCCTTCACTTGTAAATGCTTCTCCAATTTGTGGATTTAGTGGAGGCGTTGGGGTGGAGTAATAGGCTGCATAATGTCTTCTTCTTCTTCAAAGAAGGATTAAAATTTTATTTTCCTACGCAACTTTCAGTCCTAAGCCCTTTCTTCACCAAACTCAAGATATCTATTAATGATTATTCTATCATTGCTTGGATTGTACAAATTGTGACATTTAGAACTTTGATCATAGCCAATGAACATGCACCTCTTAATTTTATCATCAAGTTTAGTCCTCTTCTTATCCGATACATGTGCATAGGCTATACTTTCAAAAACCCGCAAGTGTGAAACGTTTGGCTTGTAACCACTCCAAGTTTCTCATGTGTTTTGTCGTGTAAACATTTGGTTTTGCACCAATTTGACAAATAGGCTGCACAAGCAACTGCTTCAGCCCAAAACACATTAGGCATACTTTTGCTCTTAAGCAAAATCTTGGCCGTGTTGAGTAGGGACTGATTCTTTCTCTTGGCTACATCATTCTGTTATAGCGATTTTGAAACTGTCAAATGATGATGAACGACATTTTTCTCTCAATTACTAGGTGATCGA